TCGATCATCCACTTGATTCAAGAACGACGGAACGTGGTGAATTGGTCCACTCAAGCACAGAAGCTGTGCGTACAGCGACCGATGCACTGGACTCTGAGTCTCTATCACCAAACGATATTTCTCTTAAGAGATCCCGGAAGGCTGATGAAGCAAAGCTGAATGGCTCAGCTAGCGCACAGAAGAAGGCAAAGCGTGCTGAAGCTTCGAATGAAGTGAAAAGTCCAGCAAACAAGGCGATGAAACCTGTGAATAGTGAGTCCAAGGACGAGTGGAGGATGAAAAAATCGCTCACGTTATTTAAACAAGCCATCCTGTTAAGCAAAGGTGAAGAAGCCGACAGCAAATACGCTCGACGAACCATCACCGTCTTGGTGAACCAGAGCTCCAGGTTCATCGATATGCACGATCATGTGGTACGTTCAAGCCTACGTGTTACTAGTTTTGACAATCTTATCTAACATTAAATAACGTTATTTTGCACAGACGGCTTTGTGCCAGCTTCTAGCGGATACTTTTCAAGAGCTAAATACCACCCCAATCGAAGTTGTTTGTGGCTCCCTCGGCGTCTTCCGGACTCCAAGATCGCGACGTTTATTACAAGAAAACAAACTGGGGCTGAGTTGGCTGGTCAATCAACTTCTCCTAAGACTCGTGAGTCATGGCGATACCCTGAATTTGTCAAATGTTGACGAATGTTTGCTACATCTTCGAGGCTTTTTGGTCGAGGAACGCACCAATATCGGCGAGTTTCTATCAACCAGCACAGCGCAAACACCAGTTACAACGCAACACGTTAACGTGAGCCACGACAAGGTCTTTTTAGCACATATTTGTGCTCTGCATACGCATTTGTGCAAGGCAACGGGGCAGTTATCTCGTGCTCGAGTGCTGCTTTTCGACATTATTCGAAGTAACCCGGACATCCGAGGCTTGTACTTCGCAATGGTGATACTGGAAATTTATCCAGAGATGTTGGAGCGGGAATTTGACGAGCAGTGTATTGAACGTCAAGGTGTACTCAAGGAGACGCTGCTGCATGCATTTATTGTCATTTCCAGCACTGCAGCAGCGAGACGAGAGCTGCTACTGCATCAGTCAAGTCTCACAATGTTGCATCGTATCGCTGACGCAATCCAGAAGCCTGAACTCGAACAAGTTGATGGTGCAGATATGTGCATACAGAAATTGTACATACAAAAATTGTACGACCAGTTGATCGGACCAGAAACGGATTACTTTGAGCTTGCCAAGAGTATGGAGATATGTACGGCAGTGCACGACCGCGACTTGGTCACCCAGATCTTCAGTATTGAACAATGTCGAAAGCTGTATGCCAAGGCAAATATTACAGCCAAGAGCGGTATTTTATCCGTCATCGGACGTATCGCGACGAGAACTCGAAGTGACCAGTACGTGGAGAGCGTCATCGACTGGCTGTACGAGATTCTATCGTCCCAAACGATGGATAAAGTTTCAGAGGATCAGTTCAAGCTGCGCGTCACGTGCTCGAAAGTGTGTGTTGACTTAATTTTGGAGTACTCCGCTACCTCAGGACTAAATTCCAGACGTCGCGTGCTTTGTGCCGTAGTAAAATGGTTCGAATTGATCCCTTCTGACAAACTTCTCGACTTGCCGGCGATTTTTTTGAGACGACTTCGCCTCGCAGTTCTAGCCGCTAGACCTCATTTAGTGCCAATTTAAAAAGAAGAATTTGAAACGGATTTTTTTCAGCTGGACCATCTCACATACTGAAACCACCATGAGGTGCAAGTAGGCGTAGTTAGAGCAACGTAACGACCCATTATTGGATCAAGGAGTGGTAGAATTCATCAAGAATCGCGATGGATGAGCCAACGGAGAGTGCTGCGAGCTTGGAGCAAGAAGCGAATGCAGTGGAGCAAACAGGTGAAGAAAAAACTGTTGAGGATGATGAGCAGATTCCTAGCGTTGAAGGTGCAACAGATAAAGCTGTGGGGGTCTCTGTGGATGTGGAGCAAGCAGGCGAAGAAAAATCCGATGCAGATAAGGATCAGGATGTTAGTGATGGTGCAACGGATATTAAGCGAGAATCTACAGATCGAGTGGAAATATCTGTGGCTGAACAATCCGATGCGAGCGAGAATGAAGACGTACCTGTTGCGAATGATACAGTTGATGAACCGCACCACGCTTTGGACGTGGCGTCATTGGAGGATACTATCCCTCCGGAATCTCCCAGACCCTCAGCACGACAGCAAGCACTGACGTCTTTTTCGCGAGGTGCTAGTAGATTCGCCTCTTTTCGCCCAGGTATGACGAGAGACGAACGCTTAAAATCCATGGTCAGTCAGGCACAAGGCAAAGCGAAAAAGGTGCGTCTTGGAGAGGGGATAAAATCCGTTTTCCAAGCCAATATGCACGATATCGGAGCGCTGGGTATCGGCATGCAGCTGTACTTCATGCTGACGAAATATCTAAGCGTAGTATTCCTTATTATGGGTATTATCTCCCTTCCTGCGATCATGGTGAACGCGTACGGCCACGGAATTACCAGCAAGATGGTGGATCCGCTTCAACTAGCCTACTCTTC